TAAAAAAGAATTGTACAACCTTGTGTTACGTTCAATTATATTTTTAAAATTTCACAACCTTCTCTGTTATATCAAATTATATTTTTAAAATCCGATAAGGTAGTTGGGAACTTTTTGTTGGCCGCGTGTATTGAATACATTGCTGGGCAAGATAATAAAGTCTTTAAATCAGGTTTATTGCTCCGTACAGTGATAATACTGCCGGTGAAGAAGAAGAACGCGTAAGGCGTGTATAAATGGGAATGAAAAATTCGTTTACAAAGTGCAACGAGAAAGTATTGCACGTACAGGCATTAATGATTTTATTTTTAATTAGATGATTAATTAGAATATTATTTTAATTTATATTATTATAATTTAATTAGAGGATTCAGACGTTTCAGCCAGTAGACACTTTGAATCTACAAGGGAAAAATAAAAAATTATATTTTAAAATATATCTTTTTGTAAGATTTCTACTAATGAAATCCCTCAGAGAGTAAGAATATTTGGAATTTTAGTCTCGAATCGTTTACAAAATGCAAGAGAAAGTATTGCATTAATGATTTTACTTTTAATTAGAGGATTTATGTTCAGACGTTTCAGCCAGTAGACACTTTGAATCTACAAGGGAAAAATAAAAAATTATATTTTAAAATATATCTTTTTGTAAGATTTCTACTAATGAAATCCCTCAGTAAGAATGTTTAGAATTTTAGTCTCGAATCTTCTCTTTTGTCGAGCATACGAGATTCGTTTTGCATTTGTTGAAGAGAATACTTTCGTAGTTGTTGTAATTTCAATAAATAGAGTATTAAAGCTGGTAAGTAAAATATTTATTAATACAGGTTCTTTACTAATATTATTTAGACTAACACGTTACATATATATATGTATATAAATTGTTTATTTTATCGTTTGTGTTTAAATTTTTCGTTTTGATTGAGTGCTTAATATATTTACCTAATTTCTCATAAACTTTGTTTTTCTTATCGAAAGATAGAGAAGATATTTTGCCTCACTTTATATTACGTGATTCTTATTTTCGGATCGTTGGATCAATATTTGTTGAAACTGTATCTTCATTATTCGTTGGAATAATTCAAACTTCAACTTTGTCCAAAGAGTTTCGATTCAGTTCCCTTCGATCCGATTTTTCTGGTCCCTCTTCGTTCCAAAGCGGTTGCTTCGTTTTATTATCAGTCGTGGCGATGATAGGGAAATTTCTCTGATCGTGGAAAACTGGCTGAATTGATGTTACATGAAGGAGGGTTCACTGACACGGCAAGTGTGATTCCTCACTTGCGTATCTTACATCTGAAACTAATTTCATGTAAATCGCGGATTTGAGATATGTAGGTCACATGTGTGTTTCAGATCTATTCTGTTTCTTCGTGATTGTTGGATCGTGCGTGTATATCTTTAATTGCTAGCGATATTTCCAACGACAGTTCATCGGTTTATCGATTCTCTGCGACGTCTTAATTGTATTTGCCTTACAATTGACACGTGATTACACGTGAGACAAGTGCATCGATAGTAAACTTGTCGAGTGTTTTAGATATAGACGTGAATAAAAGGTGTTTCAACTTTGAAGGGCCTCTGTAAATTAATGTGGCAGATATCTATCACGACTTGCGTTTCACCATGTTGCCAATCCTCGCATTGATAGATTTCTCGGATTTTTTTTACTTTGGAATTACTCTAAAACAAAGCGCGAATTATCCTTTTTTTTAACATAGTGAATTATCTTCTGGGTTGATTATTCTGTAACAATGATTTCGTAATTTGGATCTGGATCAGATCATACGATGATTAGTATCTTACATTTGGTCCTTGGAACTTTCGTTAGTCAAAGTTGTGCTATTCAGTATATTTTATTTATAATATATAAATTCCTCTCTTTATCTCGGTTTCAAAATTCAGTTATTTCAGAGATTTCGTCTTGTTCGAAACTTTCATTTCAATTATGATCAGCTGGAGGAGTAGTCTTCATCGCCGAAGAAGAGGCAATAACGATAGTTTTGCTCCTTAAGAATTTAGATCCAATTTCTTTCTGCAAACTTCTGAGATTTGTCCAATGTATCTTGGAGCAATATCTTTGTTACATGTTTAAAGATTTTTTTCACTTGTCGTCGAATGCGAAAACAAGGCAACATCGAGCACTCTAAAGCTCTATTCGATATTCTTTAGTAGTCTGCCCATATCGAGAAGATATTCGTTCATTTCTTCAAATTCGTTATTTTCGCCTACTCTTCGTTCGATATCTGTACAAATCATTATATCAACTGGTTATTGATAAAATCGTTGCATGCGCTAGAACACTAATGTTACGTTCGTTATCTACTATATAATTGATTGATTAGATCTGAAATCATTTTGGTAATCATCGTGATAATTTTATACCTCGAGTATATCATCAGAGTCGTTTTATTTATCGCTTCCCCTTCCCCCCCTCCCCTTTAATTAATTAAGCTCGATAGGTCGGTAATTGTACGCGAGACATTTTTCTTTTCCAGGTTTCTCAAGATGGGTATTACAATGGCTTTATGTCATTTGTTTGGGAAAATGTTGGTCCATGTACAGTTGTGTAGCTTCAGCAGGTATTTCCATGCTTTCTCTGGTAATTTTTTTTAAGTAAAGATGCACATTTGATATGTTTCTGTTATCGGATATCTGAATATTTGATATATGTTTCATAGATTTAAAGTTGAAGTTAATTCGTGTACCTGTGTGTTTACGAATTAATTGCTTGTAAGTATTCGATTTGCCATTTTTTTTTTTGTCGATCTCTCGTCTCTACCCAGATCGAAAAGTTTCAATCGTTCGAATTTTTTCTTTTTTTTTTTTTTCGACGAAAGTTTCGGATAGGAAGGCCGGCGACATAATCACACGATCATTGATCTTTCACTGAAACGTTCACGCTTCTGTCTGGATTGGTTCTATTCGCTTTGTTTGATAATTTTTGCAACGTGATAATCGTAATCTCTCGTACTCGGCTTGATCGCTTGATGTGTTATTTCTGTGTGTTATATATGCGTGTCTAACATCGTCGTGACTTTTGTTTCGAATTCGAAGATTCTTCCCTGCTTTCCGTACGGTCCCTGCTGTGTATTCTGCTTCTACAACGATCGTTTCTTTAAAATTAATTGGAATTACTTATCTATCGTTATCTTCGAGATGGCTACTTTCTTTTGTGTAAAACCTGATTTTTGTCTTGGATGTTCTATTCAGTCTCGACGACGAATGTTTTGAATATCACTTTGAAGTGAGTAGTGGTGGATACAACTTTCCTCGTTCGACAATTTTATTCATCCAGTGATATGTACGATCGATCGATACATCTTTTTATAGTATGATTTGTTATCAGTATTTAAGGATGTTCGATGTGCTCCGAACTAGGCTCGTGAAAACAATCAATATCGATAATCATTCGATAACGATAGGGAGGGGAATTTCTCTTGGTCTCGAGATGATGTTGCTCGCTTTCGAATTCAGCCAAATAATAAATAAGCTTCGTTGGTTCGATACTCCA